CATATTATGTTCAACCACCAACCCCCATCCCCGTCGCTCATCTCCGGTGAAAGTCTCGTCCGTTCAACGACCGGAGAAATGTATCCTTCGTCTAGCATCCACCTCCGAGAGCCCAACGATCGTCGGTCAGTGGCTGCACAACCACTCGTCGCCGCTCTCAACGTTGTCGCTGCCGCTCTCGACTGTGTAGCCGCCGTCACCTTACAGTTTCTTCTCCACCACGACGGGAACAACATCTTCAGCAGATGCTCCCGATCAATTTCCACCGAGGAACACGAAGGCACGATATCCCGGTCAAGATCTGCCATTGATACATGAGCTCTACATTCCAGTGCAGCGGCTCAACGTCGGATATCTGGGAAACAAAATGAGTTCTCTGGTGTCTGAAGAATTTCCCGGTGGTCAGACGGGCAGAAGAGATCAGTCACAGTGGTCGGACGTGAAAGCTCCGATGAGCTCATCCACAGCCATGGTGGGTGCCTTTTTTTGTTCAGTATTGTGACGGCCAGAAGGTGGTTGATCGTGATTTCGACGGTCCGCGACTCTCTAGTGGTCGAGACGGTGGAGACGTGGGAGGAAGCCTGAACATCGCCTTTTTTTTTATCCTAGGGGCTTCATTATAGAAATTTGAATATTTCTAAGGACCTATATGTAATTTCTGTAACTTCGATTATATTACAATTGGTACTAGGGTTTAATATGTAATTTATAAAAAATATGATAAATGCACACTAATAAACTAGTAGTAAGTAAATTACACATTATTGCTTATTTATGGGCACATTAATATGCAATGTATAATGCACAATAGTGCTAAATAAATGCACGGTAATGTATGAGATATTGCATTTTAGCGTAGCGCAAATAGCCCTACGTGAAAAACCAAAAACTCCACATATGTATCGATTTTTCACATTTAAATTTTTTGATAATTCGGTTCAATTTTTTTTTTCAAATAATCAAAATATTTGAATCAACGGAACTATGAAATCAATATATTTTTTTTACATTATATATATATTATGTATTTCAAATAAAAAATACTATAATAATATTAAAAAAGTAAAAATATTAAATATGTTTTTATAATATAAATATTAATTTAGCTTGTTTATCTATGTTAATTCAGTTAACTATTGATTATTTCGGTTATGTTTTAGTCTGTTGTGGGGCAAATCATTAAAAATGCATGTGTAGATACATAAAAATTGTGTCCAATCAAATCGCGCCACGTGGAAATTAATTTATTACAAATCAAGTTATATTTTCTATTTATATTTTAGGAATTTTCACATATTTAATTCCAAAATTTAAATAGTTAATTAATTGATATTTTAATTCTTGACCAATCAAATAATGCCAAGTGTCAAATCCTTAATCTTGGTAAATAAATCATATCTTCTAGAAGATCTTGGAATATTTAAGTGGATCTAGAAGATCTTAGGAGATCTAAATAGATCTTAAAGATCTTATATGAATCATCATGGACCAATCAAATCGCGTCCTACGATTCTTAAATTTGGTAGGGTGCTCTCTCCTACACTTATAAATAGGGGCTCACCTTAATTTCAAAAACACATCATAATTCATATTTTGAAGTTCAAGAGCTCTAGAGAATTCTCTCTACAAGTTTCAAGTGTTTTTGAAGATTCGAAGTCGTTCTTGAAGATTTGAAGGAAGATTCAGGCACATTCAAGCTCAAAACTGACGTTTAATCCAGAAATAAGCTGTCAAGCCTCCGAATTGCGTTCATATTCAAGTTCAAGTTCAAGATCTCTCTACAAGTTTCAAGTGTTCTTGAAGATTCGAAGGAAGATTCAAGCACATTCAAGCTCAAAACTGACGTTTAATCCGGAAACAAGCTGTCAAGCCTCCGAATTGCGTTCATATTCAAGTTCAAGTTCAAGATCTCTCGACGAGATTCAAGTGTCCTTGAAGATTCGAAGCCGTTCTTGAAGATTCGAAGGAAGATTCAAGCACATTCAAGCTCAAAACCGACGTTTAATCCAGAAACAAGCTGTCAAGCCTCCGAATTACGTTCGTATTCAAGTTCAAGTTCAAGATCTCTCGACGAGATTCAAGTGTTCTTGAAGATTCAAAGGCGTTCTTGAAGATTCAAAGCAAGATTCAAGCGCGTTCAACCTCAAGACTGGCGTTCAATCCGGAAACAAGCTGTGAAGCCTCCGAATAACGTTAGCAAATTCAAAACAGGCGTGAAGAAGATTCAAGATCTACTTTGCGACGAAGACTAAGAATTCGTGTTCTTCACGTTCTTGGGATATTTTGACGTTTGATCCGGGAAAAAGCTTTCAAGCCCTCGGATTACGTTAATTCAAGTCAAATCAAGTCAAGGAGAAGATCAAGCCGAAGATTTCGCACCAAGACTTAATATATTTTTTCGTAAGAAGAATCAGAGGAATATATAAAGATTGTAACCCGTAATATTTATTTTGATTTGAGAAATTTATTTGAATAATATTTTTCGTGTTTTTAAATTCAATACACGAAATTTGTTGTTACAAATTTTTGGCACGCCCAGTGGGACCTCTCTACCTCTCATCTCTTCTCCAAAGTTCCTCAAGTCATCATGACTAGCCGCAAGATCGCCGTAGTCAAGATTCCTTCAACAAATTCCTCAAGTTCCAACCTCGGCGTCGTTACAAAAGCATGGCCAAGCAACTGCAAGCATCTTCGGAGACGACTCCTTTGCACGAGGTGATTGGAAGTGATAAGCTGCATCTTACCCACGAAGGTGATGAAGACGACTCTGCTTCTTCAACTTCTCGTTCATCATCAAGTTCTTCATCAAGCTCAAGTCTCGCTCCGACTATGACGAACAATGCTTCAACTCTTGAAGAGCACATCGCAAGCTTAACGAAGGTTATTGAAAGGCTTGCGAAGAAGGTCAAAGAGCAAGACTCTCAAATATCAAAGCTAATAGACAAGGTCGACAATGCTGAAACAAGCCACGCAAATGGCAAACGAACTGAAGATCGTGAGGAGTCTGAAACATCCAAGCAAGAGCAATATGAAGAAAGAGAGAAGACTCCATTCCAACACTCGTCCACGAGAATGATCCCCATTGATCAACTGAAGGATTTCATCATGGGAACAATTAAGGACAAACTTGATGGTGGTTCAAAGTCAACCCACAGCTACGTCAAGCCATATTCACCAAGAATCGATAACTTGAGGATGCCTGTTGGATATCAACCTCCCAAGTTCCAGCAATTTGATGGCAAAGGCAACCCGAAGCAACATATAGCCCACTTTATTGAGACATGCAACGATGCGGGAACCCATGGTGATTATCTCGCGAAGCAGTTTGTTCGTTCCCTCAAAGGGGTTGCATTTGACTGGTACACTGATTTAGAAGCAAACTCCATCGATAGCTAGGAGCAAATGGAGCACGAATTCCTTAGTCGCTTTTATAGCACGAGACGTACGGTCAGCATGATCGAGCTCACAACATCTCGACAATGGAAGGAAGAGCCAGTCATTGACTACATCAATAGGTGGAGGAACCTAAGTCTGAATTGCAAGGATTGTCTGTCTGAGGCTTCTGCTATTGAGATGTGCATTCAAGGTATGAGTTGGGGTCTTCGTTACATCCTTCAAGGTATTCAGCCGAAAACATTCGAAGAGTTAGCGACTTGAGCCCACGACATGGAGCTAAGCATGACTGCAAGTGGAGCTAATGGTCCTCCAATCCAAGAACCCCAAAGCTCAAAGGATCGATATGAGCAAAGGAAAGGGGGCAAATTTTCCTCAAGATCTCAAAATAAGGAGTCCATGACGATCAATGCTATGCCTGTCAAGTTCAAAGGAAAAGTTGCTGATAAAACCATTGAAAAGAAGAACGTCCCCAAGGAAACTGAACAAAGAAGATTGACTCTGAAGGAAATGCAAGCAAAGCAGTACCCTTTCCTTGATTCAGATGTCTCTGGCATATTTGATGATCTAGTAGAAGCAAAACTCATTGAGTTACCCGAGATGAAGCATCCCAAAGAAGCTGGTAGGGTGAATGACCCAAAATACTGCAAATACCACCGTCTTGTAGGGCATCCAATTCATGACTGCTTCGTATTCAAGGACAAGGTTATGCAGCTGACACACCAGGGAAAATTTTCACTAGAAGAAAGTAGTGCAACTGCTAATCATATAAGTGAAGCTTGCAACATGAAGAATGAGCACGAAGCTCCGCTAGAAGAAAACAATAGGCCTGAGGTTGAAACTCACCATGTTGATAACGATTCCATGATGGTCTTTACTGATGAAGATTTGCTGCTCGGTTCTAAGCCTCACAACAGACCGTTGTTCGTGGCCGGCTATGTGTAAGAGCAAAAGGTTAACCGAATATTGATTTATGGAGGATCAGCAGTCAACATCTTTCCTCTTCTAACGCTAAAAGAGTTGGGAATGACCACCGAAGAACTTGGTAATAGTCGACTGATGATTCAAGGCGTTAACCAAGGGAGGCAAAGAGCTCTTGGCATCATAAGGTTGAGGTTGCTGATGGAAGATATGGATTCAACTGCTATGTTTCATGTCATCGATGCAAAAACTTCTCACAATATGCTTCTTGGTCGTCCATGGCTTCATGAGAATGGCGTGGTTCCGTCCACATGGCATCAATGCTTCAAATATTGCAAAAATGGCGTTGTGAAGACTGTGCTTGGTGATGATAAACCTTTTGCGGAGGCTGAAACTCATTTCGCTGATGCAAAATACTATTTCAATGTTGCAAAACCAGTTGAGAAAGCCTCGTCTAAGCAGCATAAAGGGTTTGGAAGTGAAGAATCAAAGATTTAAGAGGTAGAAAACTCTTTAAAAGAGTTAGTGTTGCCGCTGCCGAAGGTAGAGGACGAGAAACCTATCTCCTAACCACCCATGAACTTTGTTCGTCCAAGAAAAGAAGCTGTGACGGATCATGATGAAGGATTAAAGAACTCTAAGTGTTTTGATCCAAAAGCCTACAAGCTTCTCGTCAAAGCAGGATACAATCCCAATGAAAGTCGCTCTTTGGGAAAGCTCATACCTCAAGAGCAAAAGCACAACCGGGCAGGTCTTGGATATGTGGCATCAAGTCCAATTAGAATCACCATCAAGAGAGCAAACGCCAACCATGTCTCGGAAGGAGAGTTCTCGTCTTCTGACAGTGAAAATAAAGAGAAAAGAGTGTCGGTGTTTCAAAGACTCGGTCCGGTGCGAAAGTCAAAAGGCAAACAATCTGTGTTTCAACGTCTGGGATCCTTCAAGCAGTCGAAGCCTTTAAGATAAGAAAAAGGTGTAGGCCCGGCTCCAAATATTAGAAGTCTAATTCCGTCACGTATGAAATGTCAAACTACCTTGATCATATCATGTGGTGAAGTTTTAAAAGCAAAAATGCACACGATCGTTCATACAAGAGTACATGATGATGAAGATGATGATAGAGAAAGTGTCGCTTCGTCTTACTATGCTTAAGGTACTCTCACAACTCATCGAAATGATGAACGTTCTCTTTACCTGAAGATAACTTATTTGGTGAGAAAAAGGTATATCGCTGGAGTTGATGAAAATGTGCAAACATGATTTGTCACGGGAAGAAATGGATGGGTGCGAGCATGTATCGACTTCAAAGCTCTTGGTGAGCCGACCGAAGATATTGCACATGTGAACCATATCACTATATGCGAGGATCCTCCAATAGAGGAGGAAGATGCTGAAGACGCACCTCCCGAGCTTGAAGAAGGTGTTAAGGCCACGGTCGATGAACTAAAAGAAATCAACTTGGGTGATGTTGACGATCCTCGCCCGACGTATATCAGTGCCTTGCTAACTGTAGATGAAGAGAAGGCCTACATGGAGCTTCTTGGTGAGTTTAAGGATGTATTCGCATGGTCATATAAGGAGATGCCTGGACTAGACCCAAAGGTGGCGGTGCACAACTTGCCCGTGAGAAAGGGGGCAAAGCCTGTTAAACAAGCACAACGGAGATTCCGACCTGAGTTGATCCCATTGATCGAGGTTGAAGTAAACAAACTCATTAAAGTTGGATTCATTCGTGAAGTCAAATATCCTACGTGGATCTCGAGCATCGTTCCGGTCAGGAAGAAAAATGGCCAAATTCGAGTGTGCGTTGATTTTCGAGATCTTAACGAAGCGTGTCCCAAGGATGACTTGTCGTTGCCTATAACCGAACTTATGATCGATGCTACGACTGGCCACGAAGCATTGTCTTTCATGGATGGGTCATCAGGATACAATCAAATACGTATGTCTCCAAAAGATGAAGAGTTGACGGCCTTCCGAACTCCAAAGGGTATATACTGCTACAAGGTAATGCCATTCGGTTTGAAGAATGCTGGAGCTACCTATCAAAGGGCAATGCAAAAGATATTTGATGACATACTCTACAAGAATATCGAGTGTTATGTTGATGATGTCGTGGTAAAGTCCAAGAAGCGAGAAGACCACCTAAAAGATTTGAGGATGGTTTTTGAACGCCTAAGAAGATATCAACTCAAGATGAATCCACTGAAGTGTGCATTTGGTGTCAAGTCGGGGAAGTTTCTTGGGTTCATTGTTCGTCACCGTGGAATAGAGATTGAGCAAGCAAAAGTTGACGCAATATTAAGAATGCCCGAGCCTCGCAACATTCACGAGCTTAAAAGTCTACAAGGGAAGTTGGCGTATCTTCGAAGGTTCATCTCAAATCTAGTCGGACGATGCCAACCTTTTCGTCATCTAATGAAGAAAGGTGTTCCTTTTGAGTGGGATCAATCTTGTACAAATGCTTTCGAAAGCATAAAGGCATATCTGATGAAGTCTCCCGTGTTAGTCGCACCCGTGTCTGGTCGTCCTCTTATTCTTTACATAGCAACACAAGAACGTTCTGTTGGAGCTTTGCTGGCTCAAGAAAATGATGATGGAAAGGAGAGTGCGTTATATTATTTGAGCAGAACGATGACGCCGAACGAGCTGAACTATTCACCGATCGAGAAAATATGTTTGGCACTAATCTTTGCAATTCAGAAGTTGAAGCATTATTTTCAAGCTCATACGGTTCGTCTTGTTTCAAGGGCAAATCCATTGAAATATGTCATAACAAGACCCGTCCTCTCAGACCGTTTAGCTAGGTGGTATCTTCAACTTCAACAGTTTGAAATTGTCTACATCCCTCAAAAGGCTGTAAAAGGACAGGTTCTGGTGGACTTCCTAGCTGATCACCCTATTCCTGCTGAGTGGGAGTTGTCCGATGAACTACCCGATGAAGATGTTCTTCTCATTGAAATAACTCCACCTTGGAAGATGTACTTTGATGGAGCGTCCCATAGAGAAGGAGCTGGTGCTGGAGTCGTCTTTGTGACATCCCATGGAGAAGTGCTTCCGTATTCCTTCACTTTGACTGAAAATTGCTCAAACAATGTTGCGGAGTATCACGCTCTAATTCTGGGGTTGGAGACGGCCATGGACATGAAGCAACTACATCTGAGGGTCTATGGCGATTCAAAGTTAGTGGTCATCCAACTGCTTGGAGAATACGATGTAAAGAAGCATGAGTTGCTCCCATATGTCGACTATGCGAAAAGGCTCATGGGATGGCTTGGAGATGTTACGATCGAACATGTGTCGAGAAAGAATAATAAACAAGCTGATGCTTTGGCAAAACTCGCTTCTTCACTAATTCTCCTCGAGGATAAGGCTCGAGTGAAAATTTGTAGAAGTTGGGTTATACCTCCAATTTTCGCCGACGATGATTGGAATGAAGATGAAAATCATGTTGTTGAAGTATTCGAAATTGAGAAGGAAGATTGGCACCAATCGCTCGTGGACTACTTAAAGTATGACAAGTTGCCCAACGACCCACGAAAAAGGGTTGATATTCGACGTCGTTCACCTTGCTTCATTTATTTCAATAATGTTTTGTATAGACGGTCGTTCGATGGAGTGTTCTTGAGATGCTTAGGCGACGAAGAAGCTGCTCAAGCCATGGAAGAAGCTCACTCGGGCATATGTGGCGCTCATTAGTCTGGTCCGAAGCTGCACTTCCGAATTAAGAGAATGGGGTACTACTGGCCGACAATGGTTAGAGATTGTATGGATTACGCCCAAAGATGTCAAGCGTGCCAATTTCATGCAAATTTGATCCATCAGATTCCTGAGCCGTTGCACCCTACTGTCGCTTCATGGCCTTTTGATGCTTGGGGATTAGATGTGGTTGGTCCTCTGACAAAGTCTTCGGGTGGTCATCTTTATATTTTGGCTGCGACTGACTACTTCTCAAAATGGGCTGAAGCGGTTCCCTTGAAAGAAGTGAAGAAAGAAAATGTTGCTGACTTCATTCGTATAAACATCATCTACCGGTATGGAATTCCCCGGTACATAATAACAGATAATGGAAAGCCTTTCAGCAACAGTTTGATTGATAAGCTTTGTGAGAAGTTCAACTTTAAGCAAAGAAAATCTTCTATGTACAATGCAGCGGCCAATGGACTTGCTGAAGCATGTAGTCTTTTGAAGAAAGTTGTAGCCAAGTCAAAGAGAGATTGGCACGAAAGAATTCATGAAGCGCTTTGGGCGTATCGCACTACCTATCGCACTCCCACTCAAGCGACTCCGTACTCGCTGGTATATGGTGTTGAAGCTGTCGTTCCCCTCGAACAACAAATCCCATCATTGAGGATCGCCATACAAGAAGGATTGACTGAGGAAGATAATGCACGACTGCGCCTTCAAGAATTAGAAGCTCTTGATGAGAGGAGGTTGGAAGCGCAACAAAGACTTGAATGTTATCAAGCTCGGCTTTCAAAGTCGTTTAATAAGAGGGTCCGAGCTCGTTCTTTTCAAGTAGGAGATTTGGTACTTGCTGTGAGAAGACCCATCGTAGCCACTCATCGTGTTGGAAACAAGTTCGTGTCAAGATGGGATGGACCATATGTCGTCACGGAGGTCTACACAAATGGCGCATACAAGCTGATATCGGAGGATCGAGTCAAGATTGGCCCTATCAATAGGAAATTCTTGAAGCGCTACTACGCTTAGTTGTATTTTGTATTTAAAAAAAAATAAAAAAATAAAAAATAAAACAAAAA